CTTCATGCTTCAACCCACATTCCAGAGGACATGCTGATGATGGATTCTGCTTGATAACAATCCAAAGCAGAGTGGACCGATGCATGTTCATTTTCATCATCTGAGTCAGATGCCACTAGCAGCAGGTTGATTTTCTTTTTTGGTGGTTCGGGTTCTGTAGTTTCTGCATCTGAGTGTTGCTCTTTTAAGACTTCTGAAAGCATGCTCCACACCTCGTCCCTCTCAGATTTTGGATGGCATTTCAGATTCTTAAATCTTGGGTTGAGTGCTATAGCTATTTTTAGAAATCTCACATTGGTACCTTCTTTGCGTTTTGTCAAATCTGCTATGAAAGTGTTCTTAAAACGAACATGTGCTGGGTCATCATCCGAGACTGCTAGAACATGAAATATATGGCAGAATGTGGGTAAAACAGAACAGGAGACATACAATTCTCCCCTGAGGAGTTCAGTCAGAAATTTAATTAACACATTATTTTTTTTAATGAGCATCATCAGCATGGAAGCATGTCCTTTGGAATGCTGGCCGAAGCATGAAGGGGCATATGAATCTTTGGCATATCTGGCACGTAAATACCTTGCAACGCCAGCTACAAAAGTGCCATGCGAACTCCTGTTCTCACTTTCAGGTGACATTGTAACTAAGAAGTAGGCAACAGTATCTCCTGTAAATGTAAACAAACTTGTTTGTCTTAGCGATTGGCTGAACAAAAAGTAGGACTGAGCGGACTTGTAGGCTCTAAAGTTTTACATTGTTTTGTTTTTGAGTGCAGTTATGTAACAAAAAAAATCTGCATTGGTAAGTTACACTTTCACGATAAACAGATTGCACTGCAGTACTTGTATAAGGTGAATTGAAAAATAGTATTTCTTTTATTTATCATTTTTACAGTGCAAATATTTGTAATCAATAATAATATAAAGTGAGCACTGTACACTTTGTATCCTGTGATGTAACTTAAACCGATATATTTGAAAATGTAGAAAAACATCCAAAAATATTTAATGAATTTCAGTTGGTATTCTATCGTTTCGAGGTGCGATTAATCGCAATTAATTTTTTTGAGTTAATCGCATGACTTAACTGCGATTATTCAAAAGTCCTAATTATTTCTTCATTGAATGTAATTCAAGGATTGCCTTTTAAAGATATACTTTTGATTGTGTAAAATACCTGGGACAGATCCTCAGTTGGTGTAAATTGCCACGGCGCCTTTGACTTCACTAACTTCATTGAAGCAACGACAATTTACACCAAACCATGGAGTGGACTTGTCATTTGTATTACTATTAAAGCTTTTATTTAGGTTTTCCTTTCTGTAGAAGATTGACAGCATACACAGCCCAGATCAGAAAGAGAAAATAATATGTAAGTGTAAAATATTATAATCACTGCTCTAAAATGTTTAGGGGATACTGTGCACATAATATTTTGGGGCAATAAAATGTAAAGTCAATAACTCCAAATTAAGATAAATTAAGCTATCCGTCTCATGACCCATATAAAGTGTAAGCAATGATGTTGTAAAATCCCGGATATTGTGGGGCAAGATTAAAAGCCTTCCCTTTTCAGTCTTGCCTCTTTCTTCCCTCTCCCCTGCAACTGTATCTCCATCGTGCTACTTTGCTCCCATCTCTATCTGACCTCTTAACAGCACAGTGAAGGCGAGTAAAATTCCATGGCCAAATTCACTGAATTTCAGTGATGGTGTAATTTACACCAGTTTTGTAGTCCCCTCAGTGTGTAAGAAGCTTTAGGCTAAAGTAGCACGAGGACTATTTTAACTAACTGTACACCTACTTATACCCTCCTATTACTTTTCCTGCTACATCCCTCTCATAAAGCCTTTTGGCAAGTAAACTACACCCGAGGATAACATAGAGAGTGGCTCAGGCTAGCTGCCCGAGTACGTACCTAGGGGATCCCAGTCCAGTTTGTATTCTGGCAGCTGACCCGGGCCATTGCTCATGCTACCCCTTGCTACACTGCTATTTTTAGCATGCTAATTTGAGCAGACCTAGTGCATCTGTCTGTGCTAGCGAGCGTGCTCCCACTTGCAGTGCAGATGTACCCTTAGATCAGTTGGATTCTGTGGAGCAAGTTCAGAGGCGACGTGTAAAGGATTGTTAGTTGCACATTCATAACTGTGTTTGAGTCTAAGTTGTTACGTTTTGAGGAGGCTGGAGGAATGAAGGTCAAACCAGTTTAGATTCCCTCATATTCACCTCTATGGTCTCTTTTCTTTGAAGAGAAGTGGTGATCCCTGATGAATCTGCATACCCTGGTGTTTAAGGGGGATAAATATGACATAAGATAGCAATTGTGCACTAAGGGTTCAGGGCTGCCACTCATAATAAATCCTTTCAGCGCATCCTAATGGAACATCTGAAGAAGTGGGTTTTTTTTTTCACCCACGAAAGCTTATGCTCAAATAAATGTGTTAGTCTTTAAGGTGCCACCGGACTCCTCGTTGTTTTTGTGGATACAGACTAACACGGTTACCCCTCTGATACCTAATGGAACATTCTCTTTTAGATACAACACACTAACAACAACTAGGACTTATTACCTACAACACATAACGGCTACTATGCCATCATACTCCTTGTTGAAAGAAAAATACATGCTCATCTCACACAGAAACTCCTTTGCAACAGTCCCTACTACTACTCTACTATCCCTAAATCCACATTAGTGTCATTGTGGGCCAAAGAAACTCTCTGTAATTGTATAGTATTTGATATTCAGAGGTTACCAGCAAGTAAACCAGATAAAGTAACAACTTACTTTTTACATATGGTACATTGTTGGGAGCCTGTACAGGTTGGACCCTTGTGTTGTAGCTGGTACAATTTTACAGGGGTTTGCAGGATTACATATAGAATTTTCCTAGGTTTCTACTGAATTACATTGTGCCTAGCACTTTACAAGGACAGCAGTGTATATTTGCAGGAGTTGGGCATTTTTTCCAGCTGACAGCACTGTGTAAAAACAGTTCTTTTGGACAGTGATTTTTGTTTATCAGCCCATTATTCTTTGGAGTTATTTTAGCAGCTAACAGGCATACTTGAGAATTATGTGCATACATTGCAGTGGCCAACTAAGAAAACAGTTGTGTCTACTAGTGAGAAAATGCAAATACACCGATGTGGCTTCACGTACAGTACTATTTACCATATGCCCCCAGGAATAATTCTGCTGACTTTGTAAATATGGATATTCTGTCTCTGATTATATTTATACTCTGCTATAAAATCATTGTCTACTATTTCAAAGACCTTGAGACCCACAAGGAATAGAGTTAGTGTGTATCTGCATTCAGTACAGGATCTGTGGGACAGATTCTGCTCTCAATTCCACAGATGTACATCTGAAGTAACTCCAGCCAAGTAAATGGAGTTATTCCTCTTAACACTGGTGTGAGATTAGACTTTGGCCTTTAGAATTGTTTTCAAGCAAGATTTAACTTCAAATACAGTGGCCTTTGTTGGTTGAGGCGTATTGGGGATAGTCATAAAGCCAAATTCTGTTGGCAAATGCACACTTGAATCTCTCCTTTAATAGTCCTAATGTATTTTGCATTTTGATGCAGCATAGTAAAAAGATAACATATTTCCATATTGTGACAACATGCAATGAAATGGCATCACCATGTGGTAAATGTTAGTTTCATATTTATTTGAGGGTAGAATGGGGTCCACGTATATCTCTATATTCGTATATATATTTCCAACTCATATTCAGTATAGTAAATTGCATATATCACTGAAGTTGTTCCAGACCATGAATTACCATAATATGTGAACTTTACTCAGTTATTCAGAATCACATCAATTCATTAAATATTTCTCTTATACATGCTCGGCTATATATTGAATTGAAGAGGCCAGCTATTGAATATTAAAATAAATAAAAACTGTGCTCTATGGCTCTTTCCCCCTCATAATTTTTGGAGCTCTGTTTTTAATCACAACAAACTTAAATAATTTATCACTCACCCACAATGGGTCTGAAACTGTGTTTAGTTTTACATAATGATATATGCTCCCTCTGTGTCTACTCCAGCACCTCTTTAATCTTTAGCCAATTTTTATCTACAAGTTCCACTTGCTAACAAAAACTGCCAGCCTATTCTACTTAATACATTTCTCAGTTTATCAAATTTTCCTTTTTAAATGTTTAATTTACCCACAGCTGAATCTAAAAATCCTCCAACAGCTGACATTTGAAACCTTATTAAACTGCAATCACTATTACTGAAACCAGCCAGAATAGTAGCTTCCCTTATTATAGCTTCCTTATTGTATAAAATGAAAATCTCTAGCTGCCATAGTTTACCTCTTGTTTTTCAATCCACTACACCGGATCCTACCTAACATAAGCGATTATACTAGGTGGGTAACTTAAAGCTGCCCTTCTGCAATATTGTTATTCTGGGGTCAGTAGAGTAGAATCAGGATGCTGCAATCAACCCCCATGCTCACCCAATTCGTCCTTGGTGAATATTTGCAAGCATTTTAAAATTATTTCCCTCGCTAATGCCTCTTTTGTGTCACCTTCTGTGATGATTCCAATAAAGTTTACTTTAACAATATTTAGGAAACAGCGAATTCTAAGCAAATATTGCAGAATATTGGCAGAAAATAGCTGTTGAAATCTAAGCAAAAGTATTCCACACTGGAAATCTGGTTTTAAGAGTTATGCTCATCCACCAGAAACATATCATGTGACCTGCGTATCCAATCAAAACAGCTTGAATTTCAAATGGCAAATACTCTCAACAAACTGCCCAAGTATGAGCTACAAACCAAAAAAGGTCCACGGCAACTATTCATAGAGTAATTTTGAATAGTGCACAAATGTTAGGAAAATCATGTTTGTGTACAACTTGTGAATAAACAGATAAAATCCACTAGCCATTTGATTCTCTATGAATTATTCTATCAGTCCCAATTACACATCTTATAAATAATAACACAAAATTGCTTTAGTGACCTTACCTATAAATGAAAGGAGCTACTGTGGCAGTGTTTGGGTGACTATATTGCTGTTGTTGAGGAAGTTGGACGATGCCATTTCCTGTGACTTGTCCACTGCTTGCAGCCATTGAAACAGAAAGAGCTGCAGAAGAACCAGGGGTCAGAGCTGGGCTAGATTCTTTTCCTTCAGAAGAAGCAAGACTACAGGAAGTGGAGGCTTTCTCATTAGCTTGTGATTTCGTTGTCGATTGAGACTGGTTGCCCTTTGTAGTCCTGAATTTTTCAGACTCTTTACTTCCTGCACACACAGCTGAAGCACTCTGCTTTGCTGTCGGTACCTTTGATCCAGGTTTTGGTATCCCACTAGAGGAGGGTATTAAACTTTCCTTCTTGGCTGCTGTAGTCTTGCTCCCCTTTGGGATCAAGCTTGCAATTTTTGAGCTCTTCTTTGTAGATGTTTCAGTGACCTGGTCCTTCTCTTCCTTTACTGTTTTCTCAGTGCAAACTTTATTTTTGTCCCTGTTCTTTTCCTCTTTGTCCTTTGGCTGTAGCAAAGACTTTTTATTGCTGAGATTTTTGCTTCCAGCTTTTGGAGGGGTTAGCTTAGGCGACACTTTAGGACTGCTACTGGTGGAGCCACCACTATTTAGCCCACTGCTAAAGCCGTCCATTTCACCACACTCCGAAAAGGTATCATCCTCTCTTCCACTCTCATTGGGTCCTGAACTGGATGACAAGGGGGGTCTTAAAGCAGTCCTAGCATTAACCAGCTTGAACTTTTCCAGCATGGATTTCTGTCCGGATGAAGGGGGTTTCGCTCCTTCAGAAAGGGGTGGCTTGAGCCTGTCTGAAGATGGAGTAGGGGAGGTGGCGGGACTAGGCTGCTTCACGGACAGCATGGTGGAGGTGGCACTGTGTTTGACATTCATGGATTTGCTGCGCCAAGGCTTGCTGGCACTTGGAGAGGGTATGGCAGAGACCGGCTGCTGCCCAGTGCTGGTGGGATGCTGCACATTTCCATTCATGCCTGCAGATGGGTGAGGGCCTTTTGGTGAATCTGTTAAAAAAAAAAAAAAAGAGCAAGAATCATATATTTTGCAATGATAGAATTATTTTTCTTCCCCCTGCTCTAAAACGATATTCTAATTAGTTATACCTTTAAAAACACAGATACAACTGAGCTTTCAAAAACTGACGGAAAATGCAGTTTATACTAAACTTAGTTTATACCCGGAAGGTTACCATTAAGTATATGGCTTGCAAAACAAGAATGTTTTTGCTTCTCTGTCATGTTGCTTTAGAGTATCCATCTCTCAGAGCTGAGGAGAACATGGAGACATGATGTAACTCTCACTTCTGAAATAAAGCTCTTGATAATTAGACGATTATAATCGTATCTTAATATTAGTTCAAGAAACCCTTCTGATCCGAAGACGTCCCAGATGTCAGTACATTAGCGAACACCTCAAATCACAGAATTGAGATGCTGAGGGGGCAAAAGATGGATTTTGAAAGATAACAAAAGTTAAGCTTTTCTTTTCTGGTTTCCGGGTAATACGATACTTACATTGAGAAACCTGTACTAGAGACAGTGGTCTGGGAAATACTGTTTCTGTTCCTACAAGCAAAAAATGTCTAGCACATATACCAACACTTCTCTGGGCCACTGCCCTGAAATGTCTAATTTAATTCTACCTTTTGGTCACCATATTTCTTTGCTAGAACTGATCACAGAGGTTTGATTACGGTGTATTTTCCAGGACAGGAGAAAATATATCAGAAAGCTTCACTGTTGACAGTACTCGATAGCAGTTGAAGCAGTTGCTAGCTCTGCAACAGCGCAACACTGACAGCTATTTAGGGTCTGATTCTTATTTGCTTTAATGGCTAGATCCACAAAGGGGATTTAAGTTCAGTGTTGCAATACCTAACTTCAGGCACTCTGCTGCATAGTGGAATCCGCAGCCCTATGATTGGCACCCAGACTCCCTCCTATACACAAGTTAGTGCCTAAGAATAGGATTCACAAAAGCCAGCACGTTGAGCAGAAAACTGCCTAAGCTAGCCAACAGGAAATGCCAAGGAGAGGTGTGTGGCCCAAGCTCCACCCCTCAAAGGGATTTAGGCACCTACCTTCAGGTTGGAAGGAAGCGCCTCCCTCCACCCAGGATTCAGAGCCATGAACCCTCTCCTGGAGTTAGGCACCTAAGTCAGGTCAACCCTTTTTTGCCAAAAACAAGGATGGGGAGTCAGTGGCCTTATACCCCATAGCCCAGTGCATTCACCTCAGAAGTGGGAGACCCGGTTTCAAGGCTCTATTCTGACTCAGGAAGAAGAGGGAGTTGAACTTGGGTGTTTCCCAGGCTGGGTGTGTGCACTAACACCCAGGCAATAGAATTTTCCAGACTGGGGGCTCTCTCAGTCATTCCTGTTGAAGCTGTTCCACTCTATAAAATAATTAAATATGGACAGGAGCAGAGGCTGGGTTCTGACTAACATCCCAAGGGAGTGCCCTACCCACTGGACAATAGGGTCATTCTCACTCTCTTTCTGGCCCAAGGGATGATTTATTTATACACAGTGAAACAGCTTCAAAAGGAGAGATAGGGAGACCCACCCCAGATTACCCCCTAGGCCAGTGGGTCTCGGACGTCCTGAGGGAGTGCTCTCACCACCAGGCTATAAGGTAGAAGGCAGATTCAGCCTAGGTCCCAATCTGGTTGACATACTCTAATGTGACCTGAGTCCTACCAGACTGGATTCCACAGGCAAGGTAGGGGACACCTAGTTTGTTAATCTTGCTGAGGGTTAGGTGTGAAGTAGGCACTGGATATCAAGACTCCAGCAGCCGTGCACATATACCCATCAGCAGAAACCGAGGGTTTCTCTACATGAGCATTTAGTTCTCGGCACGTTGGGGTGTGTATCTTTTCCCCGCTAGCCTGCCTAGTGCTCACTGAGATGGGACTAGATCAGAATACATTAATGAACTGTTAATGTGCATCAGCAGAGTCCATATGGACAGTTAGTCCAAGGCAAGTTGATTTGGGATAGATTCATGCATGCCTCAAATTCACCATGAACAAATTGTTCATGTAGACTCACCCTCATGTGTCCAGGGAATGTAGGCACATGCTGGGTTAGGCGGCAGCTGAACTGGGATTTTGAGAATCTCAATTTTGGATTTAGGTCCTAAAGTGTGAGGTAGACCACTAAATCCCTTTATAGATTAGTCCTAAAACCCATTTACACTGCCAGAGCAGGGCAAAGGGGCCTTAGTATAAATGAGAATCAGGCCCTCTGTGTAATAATCAATATAGTTGAACATATTTTAAACACTAACCATATTTTCCAACAAGCAGCCTGCTTTCTTAAGCAAAACAGATTGATGTATGAAAAACACATACATTGGGAATGAGCTCTTTTAAATTAAGCCCACATTGCTAAGTGTGGGGGCCTGAGTAGTTGAGTGCTATTTGCTGGTTAACATTACTCTGTGGCATCAGAGAAATGAAGTGTTAATGGTGATTAAACCCATTAAAACCACCAATTATGTTCTCTAAATTATTGTGCATAATTGTATTAGCTCAGATGATGTTTCAAGTTAGTATGTTTTGTATTGTTGCACAGAACACCAGGAGGGCTACTGAAAGGATGCTTAGGCGTGCCCATATTATTCAGTGTCACTTTCAGAGTGGCAGATACATCTGAGGCATGACTACAAAACATCCACTTGAAATACTATTCATGTCTTACCAAAACTGCACTTAAAGCTTTATGTGGAAACGTGAGCCCAAGGTCCAATAATCTAAAAATTATAGTTAGTGAGAAAGGGCACTAGCAGCATTTCTCCTTTGAGTGCTAAGCCAGGGCTATTTACAATTCCGATTCTTGTACTATAAGTTCTATAAATGAAAGCAGGTTACCCACTCATAAGAGGGAGTAGAGGCTTGTAAGTATCTTGGGAGAGGGGCCATAACTTTTCTTCAACAAAAACAAAATATATCAGTATTGACCCAGACTGCACGTGTATCATAACAATAGGCACCATAGATTCACAAAATCTGTTTCTTCCTAACATAAATACAGTTTTAGTTAAGGTGAAGAATCCAGATCCTCGTGATGCCAACTATCAGGTCAACTATGTCCATCTTAAACAGATGCTCTGTCTATCTTAGTTTTTCTAGCACTCGCCACCATAATATGCAGGCCCTGCCCAGATGAATTAGCTCTGCATGCCTATGCCCACAGTGGACTTCACAGACGATTCTGCTCTTTATCCTTCCCGGGTTCCAGGAAGCTCTGTAGGATTTAGTTACTGTGAGAAAACTTCAGCAAATAGATGGGTCTGACAGTGGTCTTTAAAATAGGTCAGACTTTATCTCATTCTAATCTCTTCTGGTAGCTCATCCCATAACTGAGAATGCTTTGAGACAGATCCTTGCCTTTTAGAGGCATGAAGCAGTCTTCAAGCAGAGCCTACTGACAGGGCTGGCGCTTCCACTAGATGACCCTAGGCGGTCGCCTAGGGTGGCAGGATGTGGGGGGCGGCATTTTGCTGCCCTCGGCGGAATTTCAGCGGCGATTCCTCTGGGTGGGAAGAAAAGCGGCTGCGGAAACGCCACCTAGAACCAGGACTGCCCAGAGGGGCTTCTTCCGCTCCGGGTCTTCAGCGGAAATTCGGCGACGGGTCCTTCACTCGCTCCGGGACCTGCCGCCGAAGTGCTCTGAAGACGCAGGGCAGAAGGACCCCCGCCGCCAAGAACGCAGCTTCAGAGGAGGAGCTGCCGCCGATTACTGAGGAGGAGCGCTGCCCCCTAGGGCGGCAAAAACCCTGGCACCGCTCCTGCCTACTGAGCCACCTCCTTCCCAGCCACCAGTGCAGAGGTTGTGGTTGGGCCTCTATGATTTTCTGGTGAGCCCCAGCTGCTGGAGCAAAGCCTAGGGGCTGTGGATTGCTGGTGTAGATTATAGCAAGGTTTAGGCTTCTTTAATTTATTCCAGGACCCTGTCTGGTGGCTGATGGCCCAGGATGGGAGGTGAGCAAAGACTCCTTTGCACTCACATCTGGACAGGCACTGAGTATTCATTGATTACATGTGAGGATTGGGGCCTTTATTTCCAGTTTTCATGTGCTTCATTAAAAGTGTTAAAATATATGCAGTCTATATATAACAATATATGAGTCCACTATGTCGGGGGGAGGGATAGGTCAGTGGTTTGAGCGTTGGCCTGCTAAACCCAGGGTGTTTGTGAGTTCAATCCTTGAGGGGGCCATTTAGGGATCTGGGGCAAAAATCTGTCAGGGACAGTACTTGGTCCTGCAGTGAAAGCAGAGGACTGGACTCAACTCAATGACCTTTCAAGGTCCCTTCCAGTTCTATAAGATAGGTATATCTCCATATATTATTATTATATTTTTACATTCTGGTGTGTTAACTATGATATTCTGGTATCTCTGTAGGTTACCAGTTTTAACTTGTGTTCATTTACTTACAAAAAGTACTGATTTAAAAAAAATCACACACAAAACCAAGCCCCCCCTTACCATATCTCCTTTGGAGTAATATCAAGCTTGTGTAATGAAGAGACAGTAGTAAACAAAGAAAAAATTACTTTTTGGCATTTCCTCAATAGTTTGTTGTGCTGTATACACAGCAAGTACCCACAGGCGCCTTGGAGTCACTGCTTCATAACACATATATCACAAATTGTAATCAGCGCCAGATAAGTTACAGATGGACTGAGAGCTTTAATTTGGCTCTTAATCTTTAATTTAAATCACACCCTTAATGTTCCTTAAAGAGAGTTGTTTCTGTGCCCAAGTGTATTATCAATAGTTCATCGTGCAATTAATAAAGTGGAATAAAAGGATTTGTTTCTTGATACGGAATGACCTTGTCTCCCACCCTAAATGCATTCCTTGAACCTGCAGATCTGTTAGTGTGCTGTGCACATTCAGTTTGACTCAGGTATTTATTACATGACATCTGTCCCCACCTTGTGGTAATTTTGATACAGAGTGAATCCAAACAAAATATATCTGTGTATTTAATT